GCCCGATGCGGGACTCGATCCAGGGACTCCAGGATCATGACCTGAGCCGAAGGCAGTCGCTTAACCAACTGAGCCACCCAGGCGCCCATGATTCTGGTTTTTAGCAGTAGCTATTGTTTTTCTAGTTTTCCATTGCATCTTTAATATAAATCCTGGGTTTTTAAAAAAAAACACTTCTAGAATCTCCTTTGTGCTTTAATTTATATGGCCTAAAAAATTCTTACTACAGTTTTATTAAAGTGCTTTTTGTTCTGTACATTTATTTTTTATTACTTATTTTTTAAAGTAATCTCTACACCCAATGTGGAGCTTGAACTCACCAACCTGAAATCAAGTGTTGATGCTCTACTGACTGAGCCAGCCAGGCACCTCTATTTCTTACATTTAATCATTTTCTCCAGAATGTTTGCTCTAGTCTTCCTCCCTCACGTTGCTATATCCCTATTATTTTTTGCTAGCTCTTGTCAGTAGATGTGGTTTCTGTACATATCTGTCCAAGTCAGGTTGCTGAGTTCTCTAGGATTACAGCAGATTGATAGGTAGTAGAAGTTGAGGTGTGGATTTTTTTTTTCCTTTGTTGGCAAGTTGAGATCTCTCTGTCCTCAGCCCAGTAGTATAGCTCTCCTTTTGAGCTGCCAGCAGCAGAAATAAAAGATAAGTTCTTCTACAGCTGGATGTAGGCAGTTTAAAGGACTTAATTTTCTCAAGCCTGTGCTGATTACAATATGCTGCTCTGGGATTAGTTTTGGAAATGCTATTAGCCAGTAAGATTACTTTGTGCTTAGTAGGCATAAACAGGGGCTTGAAATGGTTCAATGCACTTGAAGAGCTGATATGTGAATATCATTGCTATAGAAATGTATCCAAGTACAGAACATTGTGATGGTCATTGTTCTATTTCAGGCTCATTATTTAGCAAAACTCCACAATACAGGCAATAAAAATATATTTGATGTCCATAAGCATCCACTAAATCAAATGCTTATTACATAAGTCATGGTCTTTTGAATGTATGAGATAGATGTACATTATAGTAGAAGAAAATGAATTCATCATCGAAATTTTATTTGACACTCAAAGCCATGCTGCAGAGAAACTTAAACATAACACTTGTAGGGCGCCTGGGTGGCTCAGTTGGTTAAGTGACTGCCTTCGGCTCAGGTCATGGTCCTGGAGTCCCGGGATCGAGTCCCGCGTCGGGCTCCCTGCTTAGTGGGGAGTTTGCTTCTCCTTCTCCCTCTGCCCCTCTACCTCCCCTTGCCCCCAGTCATGCTCTCTCACTCTCTCTCAAATAAATAAATAAAATCTTTAAAAAAATAAATAAATAAATAATAATAATAAATAAATAAAATCTTTAAAAAAAAAAAAGAGGAAGAATCAGTAGAATCTGTTGATTAATTGGCCATAAGGAAAAGAGAGAAGGATGTAATCCACGTTCTGACTTGAACATAGAAATATAATTTCCTGAGATTGGTAACACTGGAATAGGAAGAAGTTGGGAAGAGTGGATATAATTAATTCAGTTTTAGATAATTGGTAGTTTCGGGGTGCCTGGGTGGCTCAGTTGGTTGAGCGACTGCCTTCGGCTCAGGTCGTGATCCTGGAGTCCCGGGATCGAGTCCCACATCGGGCTCCCTGCTTGGCGGGGAGTCTACTCCCTCTGACCCTCCCTACTCTCATGTGATCTCTCTCATTCTCTCTCTCTCAAATAAATAAATAAAATCTTAAAAAAAAATAAAAAATAGGTAATTGGTAGTTTCATGGCCTGGAGCTCAGAAAAGAGAAATTTGGTTGGAAACTTAAATTTGAGAGGCATAAGAATTTAGATGGGAAATAAAGACAGGAGTAGTTAAGATCACCAGGGAGAGAATGCTGAATGAGGAACCCAGCCTATAAAAGGAAAAGAAAAAGAATCAGGAAAACTATGAAGCAATCTGAAAGATGAAAGGAAAAGTAGAGTTTGTAGTGTTCACAGAAGCCAAGTGGAGTAGAGGAGTTGTCAGCTATATAACATATTTGTTGAGAGATCAAGATGAGAGCCATAATGTGCCCTTTGACTTTTGTCACATGGTGTCTTTAGCAAGAGTTCGTCTAGCAGAGTGGTTACAAATGGAAGCCCAAATACACTGGGCTATGAATAGAAACTTCATTCCGAAGTTGACTTGATAGGAGAGGACTGAGGGCCATAGGTCAAAGGAGTGATGGGGTCAGGCAAGACTTTTTCTCCTACAGTAGTGAGGAGTGAGGGCTTAAATGCTGAAGAGATGGAACCAGTAGAGTGGGAGAGTTTAAGTTGTGGGGCAGAGTGGATAATCATCCAGGGTTTCTGATGGGATGGAGTTTCCAGGGCACAAGTAAGAGAATGTCTCTCCCAGTGCAACATGAAGAAAAGAGGAGAGGATGAGTGTAGGTAGAGGTGGGTTTTTGGATTTGGTGGCTGGAAGTTGGGGGAGCTATCATCTAATGACTTTTACTTTCTTAATCAAGTAATAGGGAAGATAAGTTTTATGAGTGAGGGAGCAAAGAAGAGGGCAAGAAGTTTGAGAAGAGTGAAATGTGGGAGACTGGACTAACTGGAGAAATAGAAGATTCTGTGGTAGTACTGAGGGTTCAGCAGAGGGTAGTGACCCTTTTTTGGCTCCATTGTGTGAATCATGATGGTAGCAGTTCACCTTGTAAGATTTTTCTTCAGCACCTATAACCAACCATTGAGCAGCCAGATACTTTGATACATTCATAGTTGGACTTTGGCCAAGCAGATTCACTTAAATGATAGCAGGATGAAAGAAATAAAGATGCTGGGCGCCTGGGTGGCTCAGTTGGTTGAGCGACTGCCTTCGGCTCAGGTCATGATCCTGGAGTCCCGGGATCGAGTCCCATATCGGGCTCCTTGCTCAGCAGGGGGTCAGCTTCTCCCTCTGACCCTCCCCCCTGTCATGTGCTCTCTCTCTCTCATTCTCTCTCTCAAATAAATAAATAAAATCTTTAAAAAAAAAAAAAGAAATAAAGATGTTAACAAGACAGTGCTAAAATAATAATGCATTATGAGGTCTCATTTGGATAAAGGAGGAAGGAAAAGACAGCAGGAGGCCAATATATAGGGAGAAAGAAAGATAGATATAACCATGGGAGGATATTGCTCACATAAAGGGAGGAGGTTATTGAGGATGAGATGAAGGAAGGGAAGGGCCAACATACTAGATGTTAGATCTGATGTGGTATATTTAACTTATGCAACAAGATTTTCTCGTGTTTCACCGTAGACCAGGGGGATCTGAACCAGTCCTATACCATCAAAGAATCTGAGTGTGCTTCAGGGCAGAAACCAGTTGCACATGAATTGTGTACAGGAAACATTCACAAAGAAAATAGTTGATGAATAGTTTACACCTGATTGCATTCTGCAAAAAGATGTGTAGCATCCTGCCAAAAACCCTGGTCTAATGTCTAACCTCTGAAGGCATTGATGACATCTCTTGAGCAAGGTGGCTCTACATGAACGAGCAAGCTGTTACGTGATACAGCTTAGATAACTGACAAACGTGATGAAAACACAGACACTCTTTAGCTTTAGTCTTGTTCCTCTCTGCATTTTTTTTCTCCTTAGATATAATTATACTGTGGAGGTTGACCTTATGAGATGGAACACATTTAAGAGGATCTGGTAAAGTAATAATGTGAATTTCCTTATCTCAGTGGAGGTTATCAATAAACATAGGCTACGCAATGAGCTTTCTGTGTATTAACACGAGATAATGCCTCAAAACTGATTTCCTTAGCAGAACACCAAGGGTTTTATTACAAGGCATGTTCAAGACCTTTCCTGAACCCTCTCCAAAAGGCTAAGTAGTGAGATTACAGGTAGCTGGTTGGAAGGAGATGATATGGCAGGATAGAGATGAGAAAATGGGTCATTCAAGGGGTCATCTTGTTTCCACATTGCTGAAAGCCCCCATGTGGTCTCTGTTACACTGAAAAATAGTCCACACATGGGTTCATCCAAATTAGAAATCAGTTAAGATTCTTATGAATTTTGTTTTCATTTCTGCTCAATCATTTCCATCAGAAATGGCAATGTTACGTGATACCACATGTAATACCTAACACAAATGAAATGTGATTTTTTTTTCAGCAAATGTATTGAGAGGTGAGTTTCACCATAGTAATCTTTAAATGGTATAAAAGTATTAAAATTTGTATGATGTTAGAATTATTCAAAATGTGTCTTTGGAAGAAAAACCACCACTCTGACTTATTGTTATTTCCCTCTTGGCAAGCAACTGTTTGGTTTTTTTGGGTTTTTTTTGAGAGAGGGAGAGAGAGAAAGAGTTGTGTGTGTGTGTGTGTGTGCGTGTGCATGCACAAGCAAGAGTGGGGCAAGGGAGAGGTAGAGAGAGAATCTTAAGCAGGCTCCATGCCCATCAACCCTGAGATCATGAGCTGAGCTGAAATCAAGAGTCAGACACAACTGACCGAGCACCCCACGTGCCCCAGCAACTGCTTTTTATACCATGTGACCACAGTTATGCGTTCTCCTGTCCTGACAGAAGTATTCCACACATAGGCACTTAGGTCATCTGGGATAATTGTAGGAAATGTCAGTGAGAGAAGGACTTGAGCTGAATGCCCAGGTCATCACTGTCAGAGCCGGGGGGTCTCATTGTCTGGGATGTGTATATGGTGGGCACAACAAGGGATAGCAAGGTGACATACAGTGTAAAATTACAGGCATTTTTTTAAAAAAGATTTTATTTATTTATTTGACAGAGAGAGAGACAGCAAGAGAGGGAACACAAGCAGGGGGAGTGGGAGAGGGAGAAGCAGGCTTCCCGCGGAGCAGGGAGCCCGATGTGGGGCTTGATCCCAGGACCCTGGGATCATGACCTGAGCAGATGGCAGACGCTTAACGACTGAGCCACCCAGGGGCCCAATAACAGGCATTTTTATAGGAAGGTGGAGGTCTACTGTAGGAGCAAGCAACACAATGTTCCTGAGGTTTGTGGATTCTAAGAAAAACAAGCTTCTTTGGAAAATAATTCGGCATAACCTAAAATAGTTGAATATACGCATATGCTGTGACCCAGAAACTTCACTCTTAAGTAAACACCTGACAGAAATACATGTGCATATGTGCCAAAATACATGTACAGGAATATTCACTGCTGGGTTATTCATAATAGCTAAAACACAGAAATGACCTGTCTACCAGTCAGCAGTGGATAAAGAGTGATACAATTATTCAACAGAATACTACACAGCAATGAAAATGAACTGTGAAATGTAATCACATGGGTGAATCTCACAGACAAGTCGCCAGGCACAGAAGAGAGCACACTACATGGTTCTATTTATATAAGGTTCAAGAACTGGCTAAATGAAACTATAATGATGGATGTCACCATAGACTGTGATTATCTCCAAGGGGCTAGAAAGGACCATGAGAAAGCCACATATTTTTATCAAATTTAATGTTTTATTCTTTATTTTGTGGCTTTTACCAAAAGGTGTCAGGGGAAAGTTGTCAAACAAATATGTCTTTACTTTTACCTGGTTTATAGTGACTGTAAGACACCATCAATTGTAATTTGCATCTCTAATATTAGAGATGTTAAAATGGAAAAAAATACGCCTCAGAATCATTAAAATGGAGTTTTTGAAAAGACTTGGTAAACAAAAAAGCTTTTTTTCTCTTTGTCTCTGCCAGTCAGTATTTGTTGAGTGTATTTTCTCATCTACAATTCTTTTTTTGTTGTTTTTTTTAGATTAAAAAAATTTTTTTTAAGTAAACTCTATGCCCAACGTGGGGCTTGACCCCAGGATCAAGAGTTGCATGTTCCACCTACTGAGCCAGTCAGGCACTGCTCTTAGCTACAATTCTATTTAGTTGCAACTAAATTAAATTTGTATGGTGTTCTTACCACAATTATATAAGATAGAGCAGATATTGTCCTCATTGTACACATAAAAAGGCAAAAACTCTGAGCAACTGACTTGTTCTTCCCATCTCATATGACCATGCTTAAGATTTCTAGTTATAGGATATTTGGAAGTTCCAAAATGTCTTCATTTTAAGGAATGAAGTGAATAAAACGTTTTATTGAAAAAAAAGT